TATGTGTATGCATGTATTGCCTGCATGTAGGTAAGTACACCCATGTTGTGCAATGCCTGCAGGAGGTCAGAAGAGGCTGTCGGATCCCCTGGGACTAGAGTTACAGACAGTTGTTAGCCGTCATGTGGGTGTTGGGATTCGAACCCGGGTCTTCTGCAAGAACAGCCAGTGTTCTTAACTGCTGAGCCATCTCTCCAGCCCCATAAAAGTACTCTTAAGATTTCCAAAGACTATCTGTATCATTTGTTGTCGTTTTCCCTTGCTACAAATATAAAACAATTACAATAGAAATTCTGATATGATGTTAGTTTAGAGACTCATGGGGTCTCCAAATATCAAACACAGAAACAGAATTGAGACTGAAAATTACAGAAATGCAAGGCAGCTCATTAATGACAAACACAGCACAAATGGCTGGCACCTTCCGGGCATCTGTCCTCTGTGTCGTGACTGTCATGCTGTTTGTTCCCCCACTCCTGGAAGCCAGTCAACACTACTGTTCTGCTTCTCAGGTGTCTAAGCCATAGAACCTGCTCCCAACAAGGTGATCAGTAGCAGCCTCGGCACACAACTCGGGGCACCTTGGCCTTCACTTCAGCTTGCACTCTTCGGGACCATTCCCTCGTCTTGGTTTAGCGAACTGTGCTGCCATGTTTCCACTTTGCATGGCTGCCTTTGCTTCACTTCTCCCAGCTGCCGACTGTGAAGATCCTGCCCTTTGTTTTCCTCTTTTCTCATCCTCTTGAATAAATGTATCAATGTCAACGGACCATCTAGGTGGCAAGACCACTCCTAAGTCTCTCAGTCTTTAAATCTAGCTACCTACTTACTGGATGGATCTCTCTTCTTTCATGTCTGGCAACTCCAAAACCACCTGTCAAATTCAAGTCGAGGAAAGTACTTTTCTCCCCTAAGTTTTCTGACTCTCAACAGCACCACCATTCTAATAGCTAGCACAGGCCGACAGAGCCATCTAGGAGGTATCCTTCCTCCATCCATCTCTCCTGCTCCTACTTCCTGCCCTCGGACTGCCCATCCTTCTTCTTAAACAGTCCTCATTCCACCCCCAAACTTCACATTCCCCGCCCCATGCTAAGTCAGTTGCAGGCATCATCACTGCAGCTGCCTCACTGATCTCTGTGTTTGGGTCTTGCTCCTTCTTACCCATGCTCCACATGGATGCCACCTATTTCCCTGCTGGTGGTCCTCCCACGGCTTCCCCTCTGCTCTCTGGACAACCTTCAAACCCCTCAAAGCAGGTAACAAGGGCCATTATTGGAGCATCCTAACTGCAGCATGAATTCCTACAGCTTTAATCACATGCTTAGCTCCAGCCACAGAGAACTTAGGCTGTCTCTGGCTTCCCTACATGCTTCCCAGAACGGTCTTTCCTCCAGTACAACAGAGCATCCCTTCCCTCTCAAACCCTCAAACAGTATCTGCTCCTGTGAGCTGCCACAGTGCACAGAACATCTCCAGTCTTAGGAAGTACATATTAGGCAGTATTCCACCAGTCACTTACCTGTCTGTCTCCCTCACCTTGTTTACTGGAATGACTATTAACAGTGTGCAGAGCATAGCCAGCAATATGTATTTGTTGAATGACAGGATTACACAAAGAAAAGTCAATAAACCTACACACAAACACAGTTTTAACTTCTTTCTTCAAACTTACCTTGGGATCCTGTATAGTGGTTCCTTTGTCAGGCTAGGCGTACCTGGCAGACCACTCCAGTTCTCAGCCTACATGGAACCTCTTCCCAAACCAGTCATTAAAATATTCTTCTCAGTTATCACCTTTCAAAATCCAGGTTATGTCTTTTTCTCACTTCTCTCAACATTTTCCTCGCCTAGTTACATGCTTAGTGCATTTCCCTTCCTCATCAGTAACTGCACCAGACAGGCCTCCTTCTCTGACTAGCATCTGGTAATAGCTTATGTTTGATGAAGAGTGGGACTTATCAAGGATAACTAGTTTCTACTGTGTCATGCCCACACCCGATGAAATTTTAAAATAAATAAAATAAAATAAATTTCTCCCTTATTTTGGGCATCCACTGTTAGGTATAATACTAAGCAGTGGGAGAGAGGACCAAGAACAATAGAAACAGGTACCAGTATCAAGAAAATTTGGTCACCATTCCCTAACTACCAAGCACGAGCGTGAGCGAGCCGGAAGAACCTCTACCTTTCAGGCCCCTCATGTGGTCCTCCTTGCAGTCCTGCATGAGTCTAAGGGTCCACTTGTGCTGGGCTCCGATACACTGCCAAGCAGGGTCACCAGGTGCATGGAGATCAGACAGATACCTGAAAAAGCAAGTTCAAAGCCACTTCTGTCACAAAAGCAAAAAGAAAGGCTAGTATGTTGTAAAATCATTAGCATTTATTGAAGAAAAACTAGAATTTAATCAGTAAAGCACTTGCCAATATTAATCTTCCACACTAAAGAAATACATTTTTTCATTTAATAATAAATAAAGCTTGTAGTTTTTTTATTATTATTGTTTAGAAGAAGCATTTCATTACAGCTTTAACATACTCAATAACAGTTTCCAGAGCAAAGATACATCTATTTCAAAGGTGGCTATAAAATTCCCCACAGCTCCTATAAAATTTCTAAGTTCACTGTTGAATCAATACAGTTATATAATATTGTACTCAGTAAAACCCCTGTAAGACATAAAATTGAATGAGTTTTTAACCTTTAAAGAAGATCTGCATTTCATTTTAAAATACACTGTTTCTTACAGAAAGACTCATTGTTTTTGCTAATAACACTGAGATGTTTGCACATGTGACTCTAATCTGTATGTATCTATTACTAGTTATAATCGGTTGCACTTGGATCCTGGGCGACTGTGTATGTCTATAATGTCATCGGGTAGATTTCAATGGTAATGTTTATGGCATCTACTAATTGACATGATGTAAATTTTTACGCTTCCTCTTAAAATACAAAGTTCTCTGCCTAAACATCAACTAAAAGACAAGAATGACATGAAAAAGACCAAAGGGTTCTATGGATTTGGTGAGAACTTCTTTACGTTTAAATTTAATTTTTTTTCTTTTTCATTTATTATTTTTATGTGTATGAGTGTATTGCCTGCATGTATACAAGTGCAAAAGAGGGTCTCAGATCCCCTGGAACTGGAGTTACAGATGGTTGTTAGCTGCCATGTGGGTGCTGGGAACCAAACCCAAATCCTCTGAGAGAGCAGCCAGTGTTCTTAACTGCTGAGCTTTCTCTCCAACCCCTAATTTTATTTTCTTTAAAAAAATTTTTTTATTGATTCTTTGAGAATTTCATACAATATATTTTGATCATATCCAGGTCCCCTCCCCCATAATTTTGTTTTCTTATTTAAAGGAAAAGGAGAAAGAAGAAACAAAGAATGTGGGAGAAGAGAAAGTGAGCAGGAGAGAGGGAAAGAGCCAGACAGAGATATGGGGGTGAGTCATGAGCTGACCAGTAGTGGTCAGAAACAATCACACTCTCCTTACCAGTCATACTGGTGTACTGGACATCCCTCCCATTCTACGAATAAAAACGTACTGGACTACTTAGGGCAAGCCTGAGGCACGGCCCTGACATGCCAAACTGCTAAACTTAACTTTGTTCTCTTTAAAGAAGAGGGGGGAGGAGGGAGAAGAAGGAGAGGAGGGGGAAGAGGAGGAGTATGGGAAGGTAGAGAAATTAACTTTACATTTACACTGAGTCATTCATTGCATTAAACCCATGTGTGAGCCGGCAGAGGACACTGGGTGAATATTTTAAATGTTTTCAGCTGTTTCTATCTCTTTCTGGTATATAATGCGGCCACTGGATGGCAATGTGTCACTGTTTTATGACGACCTGAGTCACAGAAGGCCAATGAAATTTAAGGTCACTTTCACTTGACCAGATTTGGTGACAACACCCTCTTACCTCTAAAGTGTAAACTAGTTTACAACTGAGGAAATATTTCTATAAAAATTATAGTGCAGGTAGATTAATTTTAAATAGTTCTTAAAATATTTAAAGTCTTTGTGTATACAATATCCAAATTCATATAATTTAGATGTATTTTAATTGAAAATTTTCTTTCAAATATTATTCAATTTTGGCTCTGAGCCTTTATAAAAGTATGTATACATTTTCAACTCCAAAAGCATGTTCAAATAAACTTAGTGTCCTAAAATAGTTTTTAAACCTCAGTTATCTTTTGTCTTGAAGTTAAAATCTGTGGTCCATGATAAATATTCATTGATAGTTACAAGCTGTGACCTCAGCCAGGACCTAATCGCTCTGGGGCATACCCACATGTCTTCAGTGGTGGGTATGCAACTCAGACATCTCAATTAGCAACTAATTAGGGGAGAAAGCAATCCATTTTATAACAGATTGCCAACAAATAGAATGCTGAGAATAAATCTAAGGTACATTTAGGAATGCCCCACGCTGACCCAGACCTTCACATGCTAACAGTTCAGGGGCCAGATTCCAAGGACAGTGAGCATGTCTGGTGCACAGAAGCACCCAAGCAGGGCTGCCGGCCCCTCTGCTCCTGCCTGTGACTGTCCCAGGTACAAATGGCAGTGCTGTGGTTTAGAAGCAAGTCAACTCAAAAGGACTTTACTCAGTAAGACAGCACCTAAGATTTCTCCTCATTTCTATGAATACTATCATCAAAAGAAAAACACAATCCAAAAAATTACATTTAGCTTAGTATGAGGAATTCATTCCAAGGTCCCCAGATCTGATCTGACTCTTCCTCTCACACAGAGTTTTTCTCTTTTACTATCTGAAATATAAATAAAGCAAACAGTACTTGTGTCTTTCCTTTGCAAAGAACATGTTTCTGTTCTTTCCTGCTGAAGATAATTCACTGCAACAATCTCCCTACATGGGCTGCTTTGCCTCTAAATATTGCAAATCTCCTAACACTTTCATTTACTGCAGATATCCAACCCCAGCAAAATAGAGAAATCTTCACCACAGAGCTGCCTCCTTTTCAGCTGGAAGTTGCTGGGGGAGGCATGCAGGCAGTACAGCAAGCTTGATTTGTAACTTTTAAAATTATAACTCTCTTTAGCACATTCGCTATGTCCCTGAAATCTTTAATAATAATCCTCTATCACCTTAGCATGAAATTAAAGGCATTCAGACACTTTATAAAGATGAAATTATCTCAAAAAATTCTAAAGAATGTTTCAGTTGAAGAGTACCATGTTTTGTTCTAAACTCCGTATCAAGCTCAAAACGACCAGTTTTGTGTTTAAAATAGCATGTTAAGGAATATTTTTGAAAAAGGTCTTTTGGTCTTTTGGTAGGGAAAAAGATAATGAATGCTTGTGATGGGCACAAATTCAGTGCTTTAGAATTCAAGAATGAACTTTTTCAGTGAGAGTCTAGTCAGCCATTGTCACCATGTTCCAGGAGCAGGCCCACCACACCAGCAGTTCCAGGAGCAGGCCTACCACACAAGCAGAGCTCTGCTTCTTGCTAAGCTACAATGTTGTCAAGTAAAGGGGGGAATGAGAGAGTGAGACAGCACAGCCATGATAAGACTGTCACTCCTCCGGTGCACAGCACAGACTACCCAACATGGTACAGCGCACTGCTGGGAAAGTTGTCTCTGGTTCTACTTGGTGCTTGCAGGCCCTAGCATCACCAATTTTAAAGTTCCGACTTTAAAATCTCATCGTATCTTTCTACTCACGAATGGCTAGAAATTTAATTTTAAAAGGGAATCAAGTTGCTCAGTATCTTCTCAATTTTGCATCCAGTAGTTTAGCATATTGCTGAAAGCATACTTAATATAACTTACAAGCAAAGGAACTAAGCCCCTAAAGTACAAGGGTGAAGCTTCAAGCAGGTGGATAACTCAGATAGTTCATTTCCACCTTAAATTTCTGTAATTCTACAGGCCAGCAAAGTTCCTCGTATATACTGTTTCCTTCAAAAGGCAGCTGAGAGGCAAGGGTGGGCTTTGACACCAGATAAGCAGGTGCCCAGGCTCTGTGTTCTGACCAGTTCCAGCTCCTTGGCCTCCAGGGGGATAAATATAGCTAGCACCCAGCACCGTGTGGGCACAGGGTCTGTGCTCTGCAGTACCAGCAATTAACTTTACTGCTGTCTGGCTCCATTGCTGAAGCCTCTGCCCTACTTCTGTTCCCACTGTTCCTATCACTAGAAGAAAATTTAGGTGTGAGTCCTCGGCTCATCACATGCGTATCCATTAGTTTTCAGGCCAGACCACTTTTTTCAAGCCTATAAATAATATTTTCAGTGGCCACATGGTGACTAGTCAAATGCATAATGCATACATGTATCCTATTATCATTTTATAATTATTGAACATTTAATAAATTTCACTAAAGAAGTCATTAAATTTAGAAAAAAACTTATTCTGAAAAGACAAGCCACACTTAAGATATCTATCCCAGCAGAAAATAAAAGTTAATATTTTTAAATCTCAGAGAGAAAAATCCTAATTTATGTTTCATCTCCAAATCCAAGTATGAACTATTTAATAGGTACAAATGAAATTTACTGATTCTTATGTGCCCAGGTATTGGGTTAAATTAGCTTAAATATATTATCTTTTAAAAAAATGTTTAAATTTATTTATTTAATTTTATATGTATGAGTGCTTTGCCTACACGTATGTTAAGTGTACCCATATCGTGCAATGCTCACGGAGGCCAGAAGAGGCCATCAAATCTCCTGAAATTGCAGTTGAGAATGATTGTCAGCCCCATGTGGGTGCTGGGAATGAACGGGGGTCCTCCTCAAGAACAGCCAGTGTTCTTACCTGCTGAGCTATGCCTCCAGCTCTAACTGTATTATCTTTACAACCATCATGAGACACTGTGCAGATGAAGAAACTGAAGAGCAGAACTCCTGTGAGCTGCCCAGAGTGAAAGGCTTGTTCCTAAGAGATGTTCCTTCCTTCTACCTCTCCCCTACCACCGTGTGAGATCCATCTCTTTTCCAATTATTGATATTTTTTTAAGTAGTTCCACTTTGTAAATCAGATAGATATTCAAGGAAAACCCTTCCAGACCTTTCTCCATAGTTGAGCCATGGCACATTCTTGTGGCACAAATCTCCCACCAAATGGTGCTCTGCAATAAGCTACCGAGAAGTACCTACCTCAGAGATGGTGGGATTGCAGGGGCAGCACCAAACCACCCACAAGGGAGGTAAGACTACTCAGGAGGAGGAACAGGCGACTGAGCAAGAGGTTGCCTTTCTCTTCCCCAATGTGGCAAGATTTTCTTTCCTTCAAAAGTAGAGTACTGCATAAATGCTCCCAAATTATTAGTATTCAGAATTTTTGGCATCTTATACCAGGCACTCCTAAATGTCTGCTGTCTTTCCTTTCACCATTTCAACAGTCTCCTGATTACCCCAAATCAGCTTTAAGGGCTACACAATGCATCCCCTACATATATGCAATTTGTCAAAATTCTTGTAGAAGTTTTACCTTATAAAACGTTTCTGATCATGCAAGTTTGATGGAGTCTCAAGCAATTTCTTCAGAAGTAATTCTCTTAAATCTTCAATTCGTGTTTCTACTTCTGCATAATCTATTTTTAAAAAGAAGATGCAAGATTTACAAAACTGAATTTTAAATTAAATTTAAGAAAGCAGAATACTGGTTGCTTTTTAACTGAGAAGAGACACAAGGGACCTTTGTAGAGGGATCAAAACACCCTCTCAAGTGTATGTGAGGGTGTATACACTCATCAAAATTCGGTGACCTGTAACATGTAAGGTCTCTGCATTTCACCGCATATAAATTTTACCACAGTAGAGAAATAAATTATGCTTTCTGAGTCCTTATACTTTTTTTTTCAATTTAATAAGGCCTACGATACTTCTTCTAATTAATAAGCTTTTTAACCAAAAGACATTTAAGACTTTCTTACTTTCTATAAATCTGGAATTAGGAATAATTTTTAAAAATACTGAGTTTGCTTTAAAGATTAAAATTCATTGTTTGTTTGGTTTTTATTGAAGAGGAAAGACTGAAAAACAGATTTCTCCATCTGTAAAAGGCCTGTCATTGCTTCATTATAGTATGAAAAAAGTTTTAACAGCACCATGGCTAACAAACAGCAAAGGCTGACTGAGACCAGCCATGATCACAGAACCTCATGCGTACCACACCTCAGTAAGAAAACTTGTCAGGCTATTTCAAACTAATTGTTTTATATTTTAAAGAGAGCACTATATAAACAAGATCTAAAATACATGAGCATTCTTTGCAGAATATATGCCACAGTCTTCCTCCAAGGAAAGGAAAGATCTAAAAGTAATAAATGAAGCTTACATTTCTTGAAAACTTGAACCTCTGTTTTCCCGAAGAGTGACTTGGCCTTTTCATAATCATTAATAACCACATCATAATCACCCTTTGAAACAAAAAACATGGTGGAGATATTCAAGAAAGAATAATGAACACATATGACTAATATAAAATAACTTAACAAATCTTTACTATGTATGACATTCCTAACTGCACATGCCTAAATGTATACCCCACCTTTTGAATGTTCCTCTCAATATTTAGAGGAAGGTTGAAGAGAAATTTAAATCGCTGGAGCACATTGAGTGCGTTTCTGGTGGAATCTGCCTTGTCCTTTCGACCCAGCACTTCTTGGAACAGCGTGTCAGCAGTGGTGCTTGCTCCTAGGTTGAAAGGAAAAAAAGAAGCCTGAAGTGATTTAATCAGAAACTGCGGAACTGAGCACTAGAAACAAATGTTAGATTGCTGTTGTAGTTTTACACTGAAACTCGGTAGACTATTTTTTAAGTTTGCTACATTGGAGACCTCTTAAAGTTTGCTAAAATAAATTTTCTGTTTTTGTGCTAAGTCCTTTCAAATGCTAAGAATGGCTTAATTAAAAACAATAGGTACCAAGCCCAAATACATTTGCAACACGAATCTATACTTACTTTAGTTACTCTTCTAAATTTTAGAGCAAGTCTGGGTACTTAGGTCATTTCATTACTCTGGACAGTAAGGGTGACACACACACCCCTGTACACATATACGTAAGTAAAGTTTCATTAATTCTGTATCAGACTATCAGATAATAAACAAGGTAAGGGAAATAGTGTCCAGAAAAAATATTTCAAAAGATATACTTTAAAGCTAATCTTACTTCATGACAGAATTTTCTTCCTATGTTGCAAGCACAGAATATGATATAAACTTAAATGATAAAACCTTAACATGGCATTATTACTATTACTATTACTAAATTGGCTCTTATAAAATTAGGTACGAGCAGGGCATTTCCTACTATTTTTTCCCTAAAAACGTATAAATTACATGTTTTACTCTAATGTTAGAGCTGTTTTATCTAAAGCAAAATTCACTATGTACAAAAATTGTTTAAATTTTGGAGCATGTGAATTATTTTTAATGAGCTACAAGGAAAGGGGAGAAAGGATAAACTGCTTTCAGCTGTTTGATCGCTGCTTGTAAAAAGTTTCTACACTATCTGGTCTAGTGACTATACTTTAAGCAAAGATGAAAAAACCACCTCGTCTCGCTGGGTGGCTTGCACACCATATCCACACTGTGGGTGGCCTGGTCCTGTTAAAAGTCGTCTTTGTAACATGATTGTTTTATCTAAATAATGTTTAAATTCTGTTGAAATTTTAAAGGCCTGATATAAAAACTTCATTTGGTCAAGATAGCCGTTTTTACCACATGTTATTTACTGTGGAATACTAACTTCTACTATAGGGCGAGGAAGAATATAGTTCCTCCTTTTCACCAAGCCATGTAATGGAGGCTGAATGAGTATCTGAAATCTAATTAGGGTTCAAAAACTTTCTGCAAGAAAAATTGTTTTAAAGCATTTGTTTAATCATTTAAAAAATATCAATTTTATGACTCTAAGCTTTGTAACTGAACAGATATTTGTATGGAACTGAATCTTTTTAAAAGATTACTCATTTATATGTGGGATTTGGATCTCATATCAGCAAGTACTTTTTCTATGCAATGAAAGAATTCAAAGCAATTACTATGAGTTCAAAATTAGATTTTTCCCATCATTATTTTTCCCATAAAAATTACCAGATAATAATTTTAACGCCTCTAAAAATATAAAAACAATAACAGGTAGAAAACATACTTATCGTTAAATAAAATAAAAACAAACATTTTCTAAAGGCAATTTTATAGGAAAAAATAAACTATGAAACTATTTTACATAGAAATTTATGAATTGAGACTATTAGTTTATACAATACTAAAAAATTATGTAGACAATTCCTGACAATAAATTATCACTCTGCTGTGAATTTTATTACATTCACAATAAATTAGAGTTCATAGTTCTGATAAGTAGATGATAGCGCAAATGCTAAAATGCATCTGAACCATGAAGCCATAATCAGCAGCAGCTCACAAAATGTGGCGAATGTCTTTCTCTCCCAGGGGTGCACAGGACAGGGTCCCCTTCACTCGTAGGGCTGATGGTGTAGATGAGGCTCTCAGCTGGGTGTCTGCAAAGCCCTCCACACATGCTAGTTCACACACACCTTGCTCTACCCTCACACCAAGAACACCAGATTTTTGGGCAGCTGACAGTGGTCTGGATGTCCAGTGAGTGCCAGGAGAGCAAATGCAATGGATATCAGCTGGCCACATGCAGCATGCCTTTGGCCTTAGATGCTGTCCAACAAACCCTGATCCAAGGCCTGAAGCATCCCCCCTCCCTGTCTGAGAATGGCCTCCCCACCAATTCAGACAATGACCGTCCCTGTCTCAGTTCCACATGGGCCCTAGTAATAGCAGCAATGCGTCTGTACCCACCACGGCAGCTACCCTGGTGGCTGGGCCCACAGAGCATTACAATGTGCCCCAGGATAACAAGGGAAGAAGCTACCACACACTGTACATCAGCCCCTTACACTCACACTTGTTCCCTGATGGAAAGCCTTCGATTGTGAAGATGTTTCAGCCACCTGGAATATCCAGTTCTGCCATTCTAATGGTATCTTATAATTTCCGTCATGTTTATTTAAAGTAGCCATTATGCTGCCTCCTGGTCCCCTCCTTTGTACTTCCTACTTTGCAACTTGAGCTGGTGGATCTCGGAAGGGATCTTTATGTTCTGCCTCATGGGAATGCAGGCTGGAGCAAGGTGGGAGTCCCCCAACCACCATATAGTTTGCCCCAGGGAAAGAAAACCTACATGAGAGTAGAAAAACAAGCATGAAGCACCTGGAGAACTAAAGTAACCCAAATACGCACGCTCACATCAGCAAACCATGGCCCCAAAGACCCAAAGTGCCTTGAGTGCCTCAGTTCAACAGGTGCCAGAGCGAGCAGCTAGTGAGCAGAGTGCTAGTGCAGACAGAGTGCCAGAGACTGCCTCCTGCTGGCTCGCACAGCCATGCTGCCCTGGAATCGCAGAGCTCCAGTGAGGTAGAGACACATCGACGGGATATAAAGGAGAGAGGACCAAAGCTTGTGTCTACTTTCCCAGGAGCCAATCTCTTTTCAAGTCAAATTTGGGAAAGACTAAAATCAGGGCTGGTTTTATTTTTCTTTTTTAAGTGCCATTTACTAAATATTTACCAGCCAATCTGCTGTAGCAGTCAGTTTCTTCCTCATAGACTTATTACAGATATTACTTAGTATTCTAAGCCTTCAGCCTTGTTATTGGAATTTTACATTTACTGCTTACATTAGTCATCCAGCTGCATGACTTCAACTACCATCTCTACACTGGTGATTCCCAAATCTGTATCTCAACATGTATCCGTGCACTTAAGGGTGAAATCTTTCAAATACTTCACTGGGTGTACACTGATGACAGCTGAGACACAGAGCACTTGCTATAAAGGCTTCAGGTGCACTACCTCATTTACACGCGCTCATAGCCCTCTAAGAGAGCCACTAATTCTCCACACTGCACAGCAGAGGCAAGTGACCCATAGGTCACCTCATTTGCCCAGTATTTTTGATAATGCTTTAAATATATTTTTGGAGAATTTCATATACATACACAATGTGTTTTGATCAGACCCACAGCCCAATTCCCTTTTTAGCTCCCTTCAGGCCCCTCCTAACACATGCCCCTCCCGACTTCATATCCTATTCTCTCTTTTTAAAAATATTTTATTTATTATTTATTATTTTATGTGTATGAGTGTATTGCCTGCATGTATGTAGGTGCACCCATGTCATGCAATGCCTGTGGAGGTCAGAAGAGGGTAACTGGAGTTACAGATGGTTGTTAGCCACCATGTGAGTGCTGGGAATCGAACCCAGGTCCTCTGCAAGAGCAGCCAGTGATCTTAACCTCTGAGCCATTTCTCTAGAGCCAGTCTTTCTTTTTTTAACCTGGAATCCAATCAGTGTTCTCCATATACACATGGGTGTGGCACTATCCACTGGAGCATGGGAAACCTACCAGTGGCCACACCCCCAAAGAAAAACGGTTCTCCCTCTCCCAGCAGCCATCCACTACCAATGTCCCCCATCCATGTTGGAATTTTGACTGGCTTGATTTTGTGCAAGTCTTGTTGCAGATAACCACAGCTGCTGTGAGTTCATGAGTGCAACAGTCATGCCATGTCTAGAGGATAGCATTTCACAGCACTCCTTCCGTTCTCTGGTTCTTATATTCTTTTCACTCCCTCTTCTGCAATGTTCCCTAAGCCTTGGAGAGGACTGAGATAGATGTCCCATTTAAGGCTGAGTTCTTATAGTCATTCCCTCATTCTCAGCACTTGGACCATTTATGAGTCCCTGCATTAACCTCTACCCACTGCAAAAGAAGCTTCTGTGATCAGGGTCAAGAGCAGCACAAATCTGTACACATAATCATAAATATTCAGAGGCAGTTTGACAACATGACCACTTACCTAAACAATAACAGTAAGTTCCCCCACTAGAGTCTGTGATTTCCCCAGCTTCTGATCAGGTATATAGTACCAGGCACGAGGCATGAATTGTCTCCTATGGAGCAGACCTCAAATCACAGCCCTCTGCCCCAAACACAATTGGTTACCCCCATAACACTCATGCCACTATTGCAGCAGTGGACATACTTTGCCTGGTCAGCTATTGTAGCATGCAGGGTCCAGTGTTAGGTAAGATCATTGATGTCTTTTCTCCCCCCAGAAACCTGCATAGCTCATTTGTCCAATTTAACAAGGCAAATAAGTCATTTGTTGCATATGTGAAAAAAGAAAAGGGAAATGGTTAGTGAGACATTCAAATTTCTAGCCTCAAAATGAAGGAAGATGGAGCTGCTTTGGGGCACAAGGAGAAAGGAGAGGAGAAAATTCTGTTGAATTTATGTGTAACCTAACCTGGGATTCCCGAGGGCTGATCACCAAGTCAATGCTGTCGTTCTCATTTCTGCCCTGCGCTCCCTGTCTATTTCAGCCGTGAGTCCTCACCAGCTCACTCCCACACTACTGCCCTTCTTTCTGGTCTCCTACTGTCTCTATAGTGGCTCTATTTGGCCTATTTGCCTTAACTCCTCATCACACCACTTCCATAATGAACTCTTTTCGTGGTTCACTATCTTCAGGACTAAGTCCAAACTCATAGCCCTGATTTACTGACCTGAACCCTGTCTCCTTTGTAGAGTTACTGCCTCCACTTCACGCTGCTGGACTTGCCAGGAGAAGACATGTATCCACCTATTTCACTGCCTACCTGCCAATCTCTGCTTATCTGGCTACATCTTACTTCCCCTTTTAAATCACAGATATTTTTCATAATCTCCACTTTGAGGCAGGGGTGGCGGCAGTGCTGGGGATGGAATCCAAAGCCTCACATGTGCTAGGCAAATGCTACACTACTGAGACACCCTACTCCCTGATTTCTACATTTCGGTGAGGTGCTCACTGTGTGTGTTTCCAATATACCCCTGGATTACCAGCAGAGTATGCATTGTGATAGAGCACTAACACAGCACAGTTCATTCACTGCTGACATGTCTACATTTTCCATGAAGTCATAAACCCTTAGACACAAAGCACAAATTGTACCTTTCTATTATGTGATATGTATAAATGAATATTCATTAAATGCTTATAGAGCCAAGGACTACACATCAGGCTTTGGGTCAACGACAAATATTCTTTCTACAAAAGGCACACGGGGCTGGAGAGATGGTTCAGCAGTTAAGAACACTGGTTATTCTTGCAAAAGACCTGGGTTCAAATCCCAGCGCCCACATGGCAGCTAGCAACTGTCTGTAACCCCAGTCCCAGGGGATCCGACAGCCTCTTCTGACCTCCCCGGGTATTGCATGACACAGGTGTACTTACGTACATGCAGGCAATACGCACATACACACAAAGTAAAAATAAAATTAAAAAAAGAGAGAAAGGCACACAACACAGTATAGGAAGGCCTTATGATGTACTGTGACAACGGCTGTGAGCTGAAATCCAGCAAAGCAATTTTATTAGTCAATTGGAACTGTGTCAGTGACTGTTCCAAGTCACTTTTTAAAAATTAATGAGGTAATCTCATCTTTTTGTACAAATACTGTAGACTCCATTAAAAATAGTATAACTCTAGCAGTGCAAATAACACCCTTCAAGAGAAAATACCCTTACAAACTTTATAAATGTTTGACTGTGCTAATATAGAAATGGCTTCAAGAAATAATTATTTGGGTAGAATTCAGAATATATACATTGTAACAAAGTTGGTGACTTAGTTCTCAGATGCAACAGCATAGCAAAATCCCAAAGCAGGCAGTAACTACACAAATGATAAAGAAAGGAAAAAGTTTTTAAGTGCTGTTAAATCCAAATTTAGAATGAAATCCAAGTGTTCAAGTTGTAACACCAAAGAAATCCTCCACTAAATTAAACGTTCTTTCTGGAAAATACTTCCTTTCTGGTATTCACCAGGACTGTGAATAGGTATTTACATAATGGTCGAGAAAATCTGCTCATAGGACTAAAATAAGCCAGAAATAAAAGGTTAGCTTCATATCATAATCCTGAATTCATAAAATCTTTAAATGTCTATATGAGTTTTTCTGATTTTTTAACCCTTCTTTATAAGGAAATCACATGCTATACTATATTTAAGAACAAAGAGATCCCTATCAACACTGTGGCTTCCTATTCCGTGTTAACGTACATGAATGAAGCAGAATGACTTACATTTAAGCCACTAATCCTACAATAAAGGTTCAGTCATCTGACGCGTTCCTTGTGTAATGAGGGTAAATAGTTCAGACCCACAATATTGGAAAAGGAACAAAAAGGGAGAAGGAAACCTGAACGCTCCAGGTCTCCTGTGCCTACAGCTTTTTGTTTTTTGGTATTTTTGAGACAGGGTCTCCCTGTAGCCCCAGCTGGCCTGGAACTCGCTATGTAGACCAGGTTGACCTTGAACTCACAGAGGTCCTCCTGCCTCCGCCTCTAGAGTGCTGGGAGTAAAGGCGTGTGCCACCACACCTGGCTGTCCTACAACTTTTACAAAATGTCCCACAGTATATAATGAAGCCTAAGCATGTGTCATGCTGCAGCTGAAGCTATCTGCTCTGAAGGCTGGGAGACTTCTGAAGATGACTTTCCAGGTGTTTGCTCAGAGGTGACCTGGCTCAGGGCCCATCTCCTTTTGATGATGCTATTTTTACTCACTAGCCTGTTTCAGGCTGGCAAATCGTACTTCATGAGAAGTATAACTTGTTTTCAAATTACGGTTTCTCGTAGGTAAAATGCAAACAGAAGCAGTCTTAATTTCAATGTTTATTCACACTTTTGGGTTTCTCATATCCTTGTTTAGAAATGAATGCTGATATTGGATTTACCACTTTGTCCTGTGAAATCAGGCCTGAGAACTACATTAAAGCTTGTTATAAAGGCCATGAAAAGCTTTGTGTAGTAGAGCAAAACTTACTGTTGAGGACATTCTCCAATTTCTGCGTCATGGATCCTTCTACTTTTTCGGTTCCATCTGCTTCTAGTTTTTGATGGATAGCTAGGAAACAGAAACAAGTAAAAGCACCTGGTTAAAATGCAGGCCACGTTAACAGAAAGGAAGATATTATACCAACATCTCATTTTAAAGCAATTCTTACAAATCATCATATTATTTTCACTGTTCAAAAGGAATACAAGCATGCAATACTCTTCAAAAGGCCCAGAAGACACCATTTCAGTTGTTCAGAGCTGAACACTATTAAAGATGTATACAACCTATACGCTCAACTGGTCTTCAGACTGAGTTAAAGGAGACTTCAAGCATCTTGGGTCTTTAGTAGTGTCTTTGCTGCTTAGTTACAGAAAAAGCATTCTTATTTCTCATTTTCACCATTTGCAAACAGAAATATTACTACTTGGATTCTACCAGCCGCAAAAAAATTAATTTCAGTCTGAGAGTATAACATGGGGATATATATTATTCCTGTTGTATTCTCAATAAATAAGTTCCTTAGAAGATTCAGAGAAACATTCTGCAACATCTACCAATTCATCAACTCTAGATATAAAATATACAGGAGTTTCTTACATTCCTTGATTCTGATAAAAATATTGGGAATGAATCACTTAGTAATATACATTTAAAACTGTTACCCATTGAAGAGGGAAGGTTTTAAACAGCAAATCAGGCTGATTTAGGTGAAGAATTAAAACCTCCAAATAAAAACAGAAACTATAACTTCAAGTTTAAAAATTGTGGCATTAATAAAAACAGCACAGCAAACACCGGCTAAACTGTAACCATAAGTTAAGTACTGTGACTTTAAAGTACATCTCTCATCTTGTAGGAAGTTAGTGCTAAATATTCTAGTATCATTTTTATTTTAGATGGGAAAACCAGGGCTCCGTGAAATTAAACGTGTTGACCAAGGTCACAAAACCAAACTCGGAATGTGAACTCAGGCAGTCTGGTCCCAGTCCTTAAAACCTCATCCCATGCTGCCCACACAGTACAGACAAACAAATCATATTATCTGAGCTTCTGTTTTCCCGTCTGTAGAATGAGAGCAATAAACTTACTATGCCCTATGGGAATTGTATTCACTTGTAACTAAGAGGTTTCTCCTCAAAGTAGTGGTGGAAACAGCCTGGATTTCTACTTTTTCACACAATATGCTGTAGCAAAAACCCAAATGCAAGATGTTTAACTCCATGGCCTTTTGAGCTAATACAGTGAAATGAACATGACACTCCAATGGCGAGTTAATATTGTTACAGATTCTGCTTAAGAAACTGTCCAGACAGCAGACTTATGCTAAGCAAATAAACAAGTCTGCTTATGCAAAAGTGTACATATTTATTTTTTCATGAGCTATATAATTCAATTTGACTCATTGCTCAAAAAAACTTCAGAGTTAAATTGAGTGTTCAAATGCTTGTGAATACATTCTCAACTCCACAGAAAATTTATCTCTCGGCTCCTTTTAATTAGTTCTCTTAAAACTATATTCAGAGTTTTGCTCTTAAAAGCAAAAATTTTGCTGATTTTGTTCTTAAAACTGTATTTTCCTGTAATACTGTTTCAATTTTGTTTGAAATCCTAAAACAGACTGCTTCTGTGTTGCAACAAACATCCATAAAAAGAAAAGAATATATTGTCAGAGGGCACTATATTTTTAATTGTCTTGGTTGATTCAGGAGTAAAGAAAAAGTGATTTCTTTAATGTCTCAAATTTAAATTCTACGGCAGTAATGACCCAGAATATTTCCACATATCAAAACTTAAATTTAACTGCAATTTACAAATTAAATGTGAGAATGTCCTTATATTAAAAACTAAACTAGAAAGATGTACATGCTCCATGTGTACAGATCTGTCCAGATTCTATTTAAATGCTGCTCTGGTTGATATTCAACAGTCTTGGTTGCAAAAGAACAGTTGACACATGCGCAGTTAGTGCAGGGAATATGCATGCTTGTCCTGAGCAGGATGACATTACCTCTTGCCCAGCCTTGCTGTGAATGTTATTTTCTAAGTCAAAATTAACATTAAAGGAAATCGTGCAGCCACATTTTCTGATGCTGACATAACCCATCACCGATCAGCAGGTCAAGATGGGGTGACCTGGTTCCCTGAGCTCGATTTACAGCCCTTTCTGCTGACAAAGCAACCTTCCTCCAGCCCATCTCCACCACAGCAGAGCCACTGTCAAGCTGTCAGCCAAGCATGAGGACCAAGAGACACTGGAATCTGATAAAGGCAATCCTATTTTCCAGAAAATTAAACCAAATAACCCAATGTCTGGTTCACTTGACCTTTTATTTTCTCTGAAAACATTTTTTAAATAGAATAACTCAATAAGCAACTTGGTACATGATCACAGGTTTGTTATTGTTGCTAATCTACTAAAAACTTAAATATGTGAAGCAGTTGAACATGATAAGTTTATATTTGGGAAACAAAAAGGTATTATACAAGCACTAGTCAAAGAAAAATCAAGGTTATACAAAATTGCCTTATTGATTCACTGGAATTATCTCATCACTTTTATTTAGCTTAAGAAAAATATACATTGAGTAATATGTTAAGATGAAATTTCAATAAAAAAATTCAAAATTCTTGAACATTCATTTATATAAATGTCATTATTAAATGAGTCACTAAGGAATGCATGTGTATGGCAATGTCTGTAAGGATGCAGTCACGGCTGCCTATATGCTCTAACCACTGTGACCTGTGCTGGCCCAGGAAATAAGAACATTCAAACCAGAACAGAGACCATCGAACTATTTATTGAAACAAACACAGATTAAATATTTTCTGCAGCCCTCTACCATGCAATTATTACCATTTTTTCTTCTTCCAGTCACCCTGGAAAACACAGCCATGTTTACTAGTTCCAGGCCTACATGGACAGACTGGAGTCTGATCTTACTTTGGTGCCAGCCTCTGATTACACTTGCTAAACAGGAGATGAAAAGAGGCTAACTATGGTATATTATTAATTCAAATTTATTAAAGAGATGTTTAAGCAATTTGTTTATATTTCCTATCATGAAAACTTTCAGCAATGCTATAATTTAGGTGTTGGCTATCCCCTAAAGGTCCATGTGTGAAAGGTTTGTTCATCTGTGGTGATACTGGGATGTGTTGTGGGTCTTTCTGAGGTGGCCCAGTGGGAGTGGCTAGGTCACTGGACATGCCCTTAGAGGGAGCACTGGGGCCTCAGGCCCCACCTCCTTGCTTTCTGCTCAGTTTGCTCTGCCACAGGCTCCCACCATGATATGCTGCCTCACCAGAAGACAAAATCAATGCCTCACCCCATAACTTGGGCAGAGACTTCTGGAATCAAGAGCCAAAATAAACTTTTTCTCCTAGAAGTCAATTATCTCAAATATTGCATTATAGAGACAGAAAGCTAACAGTAGTTAAATTATATGATACATTTAAACTAAGTAACTTGTGATTCCTATTCTCCCCTAATTATAATACAAACAAAATAAAACTGCCACACAGAAGACTAACAAGTCTGAATGACTCATTTAAATCAGTGTGTCCTAGGATATCAGAACTGCCTTCAGACATCAACTGCCACTAACAAGAGAATACGTCAAAACCCTGATCCTGGTTCAGTTTCTTGGAGCAGCAGCAACAGAAGAGCAAGGCAGTGGGCAGCTAGTGGTCTGGATTTCGCCTTGATCTCTTGGGGTACCACAAGAAAACTCATATTTGTCCAAAGTTCTCAAAAGAAGCAAACAACAGTTTAGGTTTTGCCACCAAAAACAACTGACTGCATAGGTCTAAATGCATGATCTCAAAGGACATTCAGGGAAATGGTGACAAAACAAAAGAGCTCTAAAGGTGCCAAGGAGCTCAGAGAGGCCCTCCACATCATAAGATGTTGCACAGGTAACTCTGCAGACCAGGGGACTGGAGTGAACAGCATTCCTAAAACTCCAGGGCTCATCAAGATTTCTTAGAAAGTAGGAGGGAACTAGGAAGCTGGTGCTGGAAATGCTTTTGCAGTTAAAAAAAAAAAAAGGATGCCTGACATACTGCTTGTCAAGTTCTGATTAAAATACGTGTGAGTACACACCGGCAAAGAAAAAACCTAACAAATGCACAAGAGGTCAAAGAATGAATGGGATAAACTGAAAAACAGAGCTGACTGAGTCTGAAACAGTCCAAAGACACTCTCTCTCTCTCTCTCTCTCTCTCTCTCTCTCTCTTTCTCTCTCTCTCTCTCTCTCTCTCTCACACACACACACACACACACCCCATGCAACATTCAGAAGAGCAGTGAAAGGTTTCCATTTATCCTAACTCCTTTATCTATTCCTGACAAACTAGCAACATCTTCAGATCTCCTTAACTATATTCAGAGCTACAGTTCCGCTCCCCAACTTTTCTTGCCTCCAGTAAGTCTTTTGCTTTTACAACCATTTCAAGACCAATTCTCCTGTATGCAGTATGACAAGAAAAAGAAAGACACTTAGGAAAAGGACTAAGCACGGTAAGGTCTGGGTACTGTGCAGAGTGGCAAAAGAAAGGGGCTATATCTTTATATAAGGCCATTTAGAGATAAGCCATAATTTTTGCCTTTTAAAGCTTGGTTTTGGGGTCTGGAGAGGTGGTTCAGCAATTAAGAGCACTGTTTGCTCTTGCAGAATACCTGGTTTGATCCCCAGCACCCACCATCCGTGACCCTAGTTCAAAGGTAATTTGACGTCCTCTTCTGACCTCTGCAGCACTACATGACAAGGGTACACTTACATACAGGCAGGTAATACACTTAGTTTTGTGAATTAAAAATATTGATAAATAGGCTCCAAAGTCTATCATGGGTTGCAAAAAGCAAATGGAATCAAAATATTCTAATAGATCTTGTGGAGCAAGAACTCTCCCCTGTCTGCCCTTCTGTCTTCCCTCGCCATTTTAATTCAAGGCTGAACAAACATATTCTTTTAACTATTTTGGCAGAAATAATTTACCGGCAAATAAAAAAACTGTGTTAGTTCAGGATTTCTTCTCTATGACAAAGGCTGTTCGTGTATGAA